TGGTAAGAATGGTAATTGTCTGGGATTTATGTGCCATTAAGAAAGTCCATGTGGCCCTGCTATAATCATCCACTATTGTGAGCATAAAGTGTGCTCCAACAATAGATGGATGCTTATAAGGACCCCACAGATCAACATGCAAAAGATCAAAGATATGGGAAGTTTGAATGGAGATAGTTGGAAAAGGAAGTCTGGTTTGTTTAGATTGAGGACAAATTTGACAAGGTGGAAAAGTATCTAATTCTGTTTGAGCCATGAAATGCAAATGTTTCAAAGTTTTAATAGAAGCATGACCCAATCTTTTATGCCAAATGAACAATGAAGACACTGCTTTATTATTTTTTGAAACATAATCAATACAAGGAGTATTCAGATTTGGCACAACATGTGCATTAGCTTTATTACAGAGATGAGGTGTTTCAATGGAAAAACTAGACTTATCAAGCACATACAAGGTTCCTATCAATCTGTCAACAGCTATCTTTTTCTTAGTCCTCAGGTCCTGCAACAAGCAATGTGTAGGATAAAAGATAACTTTAATGTTAGAAGTTTTAGCAAGTTTACTTCCTGACAAGAGGTTAAAAGTAAAACTAGGTAGGTATAAGGCATCTTTCAATGTTAAAGAAGAATGTAAATGGATATCTCCAATTGATTTTACTAGTTTTGTGGTTCCATCAGGTAGGTAAACTGGACTTTTGTGTAAAGGCGTTTTAGGTTTTGTAAAAAGGGTAATATCATTGCACATATGATTTGAGGCACCTGTATCAACAATCCAAACCCCATGTCCATATAAATCAAGTGTGTTCAAAGCAAAAGTAAGAGCAAAATTTATACATGCATAATCTTCATAATGAGCAAGGCTAGCATGGTTACTGTTGACAATCATCTTCCCTTTGAGTTCTTGTTGAATGAAGCTGGATAGCTGTCTATATCTTTCTCAGTCTTGTTAGCCAGCAAATCAAGTGTTGACTCAGTAGAATTGGCTACATTAGCTCTCTCAGCTGCTCTCTGATCCTTCAASGTTTTATACCAATCAGGATAGCCATGTATTTTGAAGCAAGTCTCCCTTGTGTGTCCATTCCTGTTGCAATGATCACAAAACTGGCTTTCCTTTTCTTTCTTGTTAAAATCAGACTTCTTGTAACTTCCTCTCCCTGCACCTGGCTTTTGTGCATCTTTCTTGTAGTTCAAATTTCCCTAAGGTTTTGCAAATAAGATTGTGCTCTCATTATTATTAGCAAATGCCATCTGGACTGCTCTCTGTTTCTCTACCTTCTGTAGCATAGAATATGCTTTGTTAACAGGTGGTAATGGCTCCATGAGAAGAATCTGGTCCTTTGCATTGTCAAAACTATCGTTAAGCCCCATCAGAAACTACATTAGCCTATTTGATGCAGTAATATCTGACATTAACCTTGCTGTACCATATTCACAATGAGGAATAGGCTATAGGCAATTCAACTCATCCCAAAATCTTTTCAATCTTGTATAATACTGAGCCACAGATATGTTGTTTTGAGAGATTGTGCTTATTTCTCTCTACAACTGATAAAGCATTGGACCATTGCTCTCTCCATATCTTTCCTGCAACTCATCCCATAATTCTTTGGTAGATCCAAAATATAAGAAAGCCTCAGCAATTTCTTTCGACATTGAGTTCAAAATCCATGAAATCACCATGAAATTCACTCTATTCCATTGTTTATATAGAGACGATTCCTTTTCAGGTTTCTCACAACTTCCATCAATAAACCCTAGCTTAACCTTTACTTCAAGTGCAATCATCATCGATTTGCTCCAGGTTAGGAAATTATTACCTGTTAGTGGAGTAGAGACCAAAATCATCTCTGGATGATCAGAACTTTGCAAGTAAAGAGGATCTCCATTGTTAAGATCCTTCGACAAATCTATGTTCTCTCCATTGATCACTTAATCCAATCTAGGAGAATCTCCTTAGTTCTCAGCCATTATCGATTCTTCAAGCTCAAGAGTAACAATCGATTCAATCAAGATTCAAGAGTATCCACAGCACTAGATCTTGAAGCTCTGATACCATGAACAGTTTGAAACCAAAAGAAAAAGAAGAAAAACTTCTCATTCATCAAAAAAACCTACTACTAATAGTAGCTTACATGAGCTTATATACAAATCCAAGAGACTAACAGAAAGAATAACAGAAAGAATAATAGAAAGAATAATAACAAAATGCCAGCTCACTAAAACTAACTAACTAATTCTCTAACTCACTTAACAGAATAAATAACTAACTAAATGAGCTACACTAAAATTACAACAGCTGTACAAAATATAGCCTTACCTCTCCATAATTTCACTATTTTAAAATTTATTATTTTTTAAAATTGAAAAACAAACACGTGCGCGTCTCACTCGACTCAATTTGTCCGCCTGGCGCTTGTTCAGTTTTCCCCTTTCCAAGTTTTCCCTTCTTGGAAACTTAAACTACTAAACTGTAAATGTAATAGGCAGTACGCAGTAGACTTTGGTTTTCTAACTCTCAGTCTTTCTTGTTATTCTTGTTTCTTTATTCTCTTAGTCTTCCCCAATCTCCGTCTCCACCGCGCCAACCATCAAGACGCCGATCGCCGCCTCAACTCCGCCAAGACCGCCACCTCTCAGGCTCTGTCACTATTTCTCTCATCTCTCATTTCTCATCTTCGTGGCTCCCGTCTCCGCCACCTCTTAGGCTTTTACTTCAAGTGACAACAACTACTAACCAGTCCAACGCCGGTAAATCATCGGCCACCACTTCGCCCTTATCGTTTTGCCCCTCTGCCATGTTTTTTCAAGTAATTTTTCCCTTTTTTTTTTAATTTTGAGTGCAAAAAAAAATCAAAAAACCAAACCACGATTAACCGGTTATATCGATTCGATTTCGATTTATATTTTAAAAAACCGATCAAGTCAATTTGATTAAAAAAAAAACCTCACTGTTCGATAAACTAAACCGTAAACACCCCTAATTATAAACATTGGGAAAGGAAAAAGACACGTGTCAATTTTACAAGAACTCTCCATAATATCCATTTGAGAAAACACGTGCACAAGGACTTCATATGTGCACATACACAAGGTTAGTTCATCACATTTCGCACGCTCAAAGGCCTTCCTATGTGAGATACCATATATTGTACGAAAAGTCCGACACATAAACTCGTAACAATTTTTGTTAGGGTTCGACTATCATATGATATAGAAAAAATATAAAATTTAAAATTAATCTAAAAGTAAAATTGTTTTTTAGTGATAAATCAATTCAACATTTTACGTTAAATGTGTTAACGAGTTACAACTAAATAATAAAATTAAAAAAGATAAAAACATAAATATATAAAAACTATATAAATTATATAGAACATTTAAGCATATTTTTATATATTAATGAATTACATAACGAATAAAAATAATTTTTATAAACATAAAAATATAAACAATTATAAAAAACTTTAGAAATATTATATAATCTCGTCATCATATAAGGAAGGGAAGGGATAGAATTATAGAAATAGGATGACGGTTTCGATACAACTGGTTGCCATATGGTATCCTTTTGGTGGACCAAACCGGCGAATAATGGTGCTCCTCCTTTCTCATTGACTGGTCCGAATTGATGTCATCACCGCTAGATTGGAATATCGTACTCATAAAGGGCAATACACGAGTCTCTGCTTCGTGTTCTCGCTTCTGAGGAGGAATGGGGAGGCGCTGCAAGTTCTGGCTCCCCAAGAAAAATCGCTTCTGTGCAAATGCACCTCTTAAAGAATCATTGTAACGCCTTCGCTGCTTCTCTTCTTTTTTCTTTGATTCCGACTTCATCCAGAGTTCAGGCTCTAACTTTGCTTCTTTTCTTTTCATTTCTCCTTAACTAACCACGTAGATTCTGCGGAAACCACAACCCTAGGCCGGTAGAGCAGAGGATTCCATGTCCACTCGATCCTTCTCAGTAAGCCATCTTCTTTCCAAGCACCCAAAGTAAAGCATTGGATTTTTTTTTTTTTTTAAATCCTCTTATATTCTTAGAGTTTGGGATTTTGAGCTTAATTGCTTTTATCCATTATCATTTTATGACTTCTATTCACTTTTAAGATGTGCACGGAAAAAATGCCTATCTTTGAAACCTCAATTCTTCTGCATATAGGCCATTAATGACGGAAGAGATAAAAAAAGAATCAGCTTCATGAATTCTTCCATTATCTTCGATTATGATGTTTTGGACTTAATTTTCTGATTTTCAATTCTTTTTTTTTTTTTTTTGGTTCTTAAGTACTGTACTGCAAGAAAATCTTGAAGCACATGTCAAGAGATGTCCATTGCTAAAACAAGTTCAATCCTTGAAACTACAACCTTTCTACAAAAGGGGCATTAATGCGGGTAGGGATGAAGAAGATAAAGAAGATGAAGAAGCAGAAGAGTCTACATCGAAAGAATTCGATAATTTATTATCTTCGAATAAATTGCTGTCTGGGTTATCAGATAACATCACCTCAAACATGAAGAGGAATGCAGTTTATAGCATGAGTACGCCGGCATTTACTGTACTAATTCGGAAGATTAAGTCGATTCATGGTTTAATGTGTTCGGATATTCAAGACTCGTGTAAGATGCCAGAAGCTTGTGGGATATGGATTAAGAAAGAAATAGATCGGTATGTAAAATGAATTACTCACTCAAGTTTTCAGTTTGGGTGGACTTTCTGGATAGGTAAATGATTAATTGATTGCAGGAAACTACCGTTTCAAGAGAAACATGTTCTGCAACAGGCATCGATTCTTGGGAACATTTCAGAATTTGGATTATTAGAGAGTCCTGCTGCAAAAGTAGTTGTTCCTGAACCTAGGGAACACTTGAGCTGTGATAAGTCGTCATCTAGGAAAGACAACGAGGTCCCTGCAGTAGTTGAGTTCGGAGCTGGGAGAGCGTATTTGACACAAATGCTTGCAGATTGCTATGGAATCAAGAAAGTAGTTTTAGTTGAACGGAAGTCTTACAAGCTGAAGGTTAGTGTTATTGAGTTCTCAAAAATTGCATCCTTGACCTATGATACCCAGATACATGTACAAGGGTGCCGTATCATTTGGATGCTTCAATTTAGTGTAAATCCCATATCGAACATTGTGTCCAACTATACCCTTGCCATATCTGGGTAACATGGTCCTTGACTATACAAAAATATCAATAACCAGATAACTGGTATGCAACTGGTAAGATCTGTAGAGATCCCTCAGAGATGTTGAGTTTCATCAGCTTGCTGAACTTAGATTAATCTATATTTAATCTATTTTCTTCTTGATATTTCAATGCAACCTCTAGGCTGATCGAAGTCTACGCCAAAAAGAAAGCTTGAGTTTAGAACGTTTGAGAATTGACAGTAAGCCTTTCACAATCCTGTGGGTTCAAGCAACATATGCTTTCGCATACACACACAGACACATGATTTCCTGCATATTCCATATGGCTTATCGAGGTGGTTTATTGATAAATTCACTTCATATTTTTAAACTGTGGTGCATTGATTTATCTGTTTATACTTATAGCCAGAAAAGGTCCATGCCATAGTTTTTAAGGCACCAAGGCGACAGAGGGGTGCCTTGACACCTAGTCGCCTAGGCAATGGATCTTTTTTAAGTAAAACCATATATCCTATGGTAGTTCTCCATGTTCTATAACCATCTTTCCTTAATAATTATCCATAATTTTCATAAGAGAAGTATAAATTTCATGTTTTAAGTTTAGAAAATCAACATTTTATAAGAAGAAAAGGAAAAAAGGAAAGAAAATTCAAAAAATATAGGAGCTGAACCCTTACTTTTGTTATAGGAAAAGAAGAAAAGAAAAGGTGGAAGAAGAAGAAGATCTGTAAGAAGAAAATGTGTTGATTAGACAAAATTTTAAATTCTTCCCTTGCTTATTGGTTAAGGTTCTGAAATCTTTGAGGATTCAATCAAGGATCAAATCTTCGATACTATACACCCCGTATCGGGTGTATTATATTGTATCATTGGTGCCCCCATACACATATTTACAGGTGTTTTTGGGAATCCATTTTTTAAAATAATATATATATATATATGAAATCGAAAACCAAAGAAATAAAAAAATAGGGGGAGTATTGTTACAAGTACTGATACACCTCTGCTGATACACAGAGGTGTATTGATACTTTGAACCATGGGTTCAATATAGCAGTTAGCAATGTTTGTGTTGATTAAACCCTAACAAATAAGAAAATAATAAGAAGAAATTAGTAAATAAACACAAAATGAGTATTCTAGTTTAATAATGCCTATTTTATAATTATAATGTCAAAAATATAAAAATATAAAAGTATTTTATAACATAGTGCACAAAACTACTTGGCGACTGGACGAGGCGAGCCTCCAAGGGTACCTTGTTGCCTAGGTGCCCGCCTAGGCGTCACCTTGACAACTATGGTCCATGCATGCATGATTATTTCTCTAACAAGGCATGCAAGCACCTGCATTGTAAGCCATTAGACTCCATAACCACCAAGATGGATGGTTGATTGATAAATTCACTTGATATTTTTAAACTGTGATGCATTGATGTGATCTGTTTATACTTATAGCCAGAAAAGGTCCATGCATGCATGATTATTTCACTAACAAGCCATGCAAGTACCTGCATATGTAAACCATTAGGCTCCATAACCACCAAGGTTTTCGAAGCTCAATAGATGTGATCCATCCAGAGAAAGAAATTGTGCTAGACTGTTCATTTTTCCCAAATCAAGCACCTGTCCAGTCATAAAATGCCAACAAGTTTACTACAGTTTGGAAAAGTATGTCTTAAGGCCACCAAACTGTAGCATTCCTAGTGATAGGCACACTTTCAGGAACTTCGTCCCTCATGGGTCATGGGTAGGTTATCAGGGCTTCATCTATGAATCTCATTTAATATGTCCTTGAATATAATCTATGTAGACATTAAGCATTAAAAGTAAACTACTACGATAGTTGGAGAAAAAAATTCTTGGGTTTGAAGGTAAAAATAAATAAAAAAATTATTAAAAGAAAAAAAAAAAAGATAACAAGAAAGTAATAAGAAATCACTCAACCCAAGAATATAGAAAACAACAAACTCAAAGGCACCAAGATCCGACACCCAACACCACACCAAAGAAAACCGCCACCAAAAGCAAAAAATCAACTCAAAAGAAAGATAATACACTGCCTCCATGGACACGATATCTTGCAGCTCAAACCTGCCTTGCCAATCTCATCTTCCTATGCAGCTAGCCTCTTGTTAGCCTTCCTGCACTTCTTCACCTTCTTGTTAGGACCAACACCAAATAAACCCTTCTTCAATCTATCAAAAAATTCAGCTACATGAAACAAAGCATGTTGATCCACTTGCAGAATAACATTTGCTATCGTCATTACAGAAGTCTTTCCTGGGAAAATGATGACTTGGTCTATACTCATGACCAAACTTCCTTGCTAATCCAGAGTGGTAGCTATAGAGTACCAATATCCAATCTATGCTTTGTGCGAGACAGATGTTTGACCGGAAATTCTTATAACCTCGTATGTTTATTTATTCACTCAACAGGTTATGCAAACAAGAAATATGCTTCTTTAAAAATTTCTATGGGAAAAAGAGAAGTCATCTAGTTTTTTCTTTTCAGGGTAGTCATGGAGCATGAATTATAAACTGCATGTCATTATAAAGTTTGAAAAGAAGAAGGAAAGGATCTTATCTCATTTATGAATCTGCTAAAAACAGTACCACTGAATAATCTAATTCTAATTCTAGGCTTTTATTATTTATTCTTGTTGCTTTCCACTCTTCGGTGTTTTTTCCCTTAATGCTTTTCTTTTTCATGATTGAACATTCAAACCAGTTGATTAAGGTGGTGTTTGCCAATATGTATGATTTTGTTTCTAAAAAATCAACTCCCAAATCATGAAAATCATATTGCAATTTCTGATGTGGCTGGTGTTCTAGTCTTGATAAACAAAATTGTACATATTGAAAAATGCCTCCTAAACTGTTTGGACCATGAACTGCCCATTCTAGATTGACAAAATCCCAGCAGTTCAATGTTCAGGACATGTTCAAGAATACTGATTGTAAGTCGTCATGCCATACCATTTTTATGTACAGTGTCCTCTGCATGAGATATTCACTTTGCAAAAACCCACTGATTGCATATGTTAATTGAAAGAGATATTATTCCCTTCACCAAGTTTTCCTTTTCTGTAGTTATAGATGCAACTTTTTGGTATTTCATATTATTTTCTTTCTCACTCCAACATTTACAATTTTGCAGTAGAGGACCTGGACTTGAATGCAGTTGAGTCTTTGAAGGGAATTCCTTACCTGGCAATTGGGAAACATCTCTGTGGACCTGCAACAGGTCAGGTGATCAAATTATTTCCATATATTTGACTTTGTAGAGGGATATTTGTCTTAATTAAGACCATCAATATCTTAACTATTTGTGCAGATTTGACCTTAAGGTGTTGTCTTTCTAACCAACATAATGAAGACAAGGCTATAAATTCAAGTGGTCACCTGAGAGGACTCGCCATTGCAACATGTTGCCATCATCTTTGTCAATGGAAGCACTACATAAGTAATCTATTGATCCTTACCATATAATGAATATACAATCAGTAGTTAAAATCTTTTGAAGGTGCCAACTGGCTCAGTTGGTAAGATCTCTGGCTGGTTGTAGCGGAGATTTGGGATTGAATCCTGCCTTCATCAGGGTTGGGGGTTACAGGCTTGATGGATGAGCTGCCCAATCCATTTTAGCTTCTAGAAACTGATGTTTTCTTTGGATTTAATTTTTTTCTCATAATGTGGTGTCACTGATTATTATTTGCAAAGAAAGTTTGCTTGCTTATAAATTGTTTGGTCATGGTGTTATGCAGATAAAAGATATTTATCAAATCTGGGGATCACAAAGGAAGAATTCCATGCCATTACATGGTTTACCAGCTGGGCAGTAGATGCAGATCATGGGTCAGATCTTTCTGATGCTGTTGATCGTGGATTACATCTGTGCTCAATGTAATTCCATTTCAGTCATTTCATATGAATTTAGGCGCATGTGAGGAATAACCCACCATTATTCCTGAAATGGGAAGAAATAAACTGCTAAAACTGTCAGAAATGCACAAGTGCATATGATCATCCGCGCATTCCTAAAGCAACACCTAAAACCTCCATGTGAATTAATGCTGTTTCTATTTGCTTTGAATTTTAGTTGACAAGGATGTTTTGCTCCTCTTATGGCAGTGAGGAAGATTGTAGTGTGGATGCATATAGTGGCGTTGAAGAAATTGTAAGGAAGATGGAGGCACTGGAGAGGGCAGCGTTGGGATTAATGTGCAAAGAAATTATTGACATGGGAAGGAAGATCTGGATGAAAGAAAAAGGCCTCGAGACAAGGCTTGTTAAGTATGTTCCCTCCACTATTTCTCCTGAAAACCATCTACTGGTTGCTAAATGCAGTAACCACTTGTAAGATATGGAGGCAATGATGGGCTTGCTGACGATTTGTTGGTAGCTAAGTGCAGCTATCGCTTGTCAAGATAAGGAGGTTAGAATGATCTCTGCATAAAAAACCGACTCACTGGAACTTCTATTCAGAGTTTTATTGAAGTGAATGGAATTTATTGAACTAAGCTTAAATTTTCTTACTGATGATCTATTCCCGTTATTAATTTCTCCAAAAAGAAGGATCTATACCTGTCTCATGATATGATTTTCCCCTCTGATCTTTTGACAATGGAACTTATCCATCATCAAATAAAGCCAGTGAAATTTTCTTAATAATTCGGTAATACCGTGTAATTATTGGGTTGGGTTAGGGTTGAAAATTATTAATCTGACTTAACTTTGGGTTGGGTTAGGGTTGAAAATTATTAATCTGACTTAACTTTGGGTTGGGTTTAAGATTGAGGCCTTGGCCAACCTAAGCCCAACTTAACTTTCATATTTGTTCGCATAAATGAGGGGTTCTCACGGTTCGAACCGATCTGGAGGTGGAACCGTTTTTGCCTCCAGGTCAAGTCACTGGTTCGACCATCTGGGTTGAATGGGTTAGACCATGTCACATCAGTAATATGTAAATTCTTACATACACATGTACACATATATAGGCATGTATAAATATGTATTTAATCAATAAATAATGTATAATTATATTTTACATGTAATATATGTATTATATTAGATTTAATTTATATTTTTTAATTTTTTATTTATAAAAAAAGTAAAGAAAAATTAAAAATTGCGATTTTAGGACATAAAAGGTTTTTTTGTGAGAATAGTAGGGCAAAAAGTTGTCCAAAATCAAAAAACAAAAGATTACTTCAATCGAACGGGTCAATGGTCCAACCTTCTGGGTTGGACATTTTTTTACTATTTCTTGGATTTTACTAAAATCAGACCAAAAACCTTAATCAGGTGGTGGTTCAATGAGATTAGAAACACTTTTCCATACCAAACTGGTATCATCAGTTTTTGGAAAACCATGAATCAATCGAAACCAATTAATTAACCGATTGATTGATTCGGTTCTTCCGTTTTTCAGTTTATTGATATTTATAATATAATATATCATATGTGGGACGTGTCATCACATCTGTTCCGAAAAGCATGCGTGAAAATGTTTTTTATAAAATTTATCTCACATTTATGACTCACCAGATTTCTTCTAAGACTGAAGCCAAGTCTTATCCAAATGCAATACGACTTTGGAGAGAGCATATCCCACTTGGCAAGAATTGGGCTTAAATTATTATACGTTCTAGATAGAAATTGAACCTCCAGCCCAAACATAATCTTGGCCCATTCCCGGAATTGGATTTACCGATGTAAACGAAATGGCCCCGTGTGTATTGATCGATCAAAACGGGAGCATATTAGCTGGAGACAAAAACATACACACTCGATTGAACTATCTATCACGATTGAATTAGTGAATAAGATTTTGTCTCCAGCTCATCCCGACTGGTTCAAAACATGTAGGGCATGATTCGAACCCACAACCACTGTACACATGTACTCCAAAAACAAATAAAATAAAAACAATACACATGTACTTTCGTACTTGAAGAAGCATTCTTTCAAATATGTGTTGTTCAAATTGAGAGTAGAGAAGTTTATTTTGTATTTTCATTTAAATATTAGAGTGATACACATCACAGGATGGATTCTTTTTTCAGCAGAAAAGCCATTAAAACCCTCATCATTAGTATTAGACTATTAGCTACTCTCAATTTGGACTTTGGAGGCTAATATGATCCCACGTCACTTCTTACGCATTGAAGAAAAAGACAATAAATGTAATTTATTTACCATAGATTATGATGAGGATGAGTAATCAATTTCTGGCCGTGTGTAGATTTTATTTCATGTTTCTAAATAGAAAATGTACACTTCGTTTGGCAACTCTTGCGGGTTAGGCATCTAAGCTTGGCCTGTCGACTGTCGTAGTCTCGTAGCTACGGGTGTAAATGGATCGAATTGTAACTGAATTAGGCAATATTCAAATTTATAATGTGATTAGAATGTTTGAATTTGAATTTAACTAAATATTTGAATATTTAATTTGATTTAAGTTCGATGAATTAATTATTTTAGATCATTTATAAATATATAAAATAATTAATTGTATATATATGAAATATATAAATATATAAATTAATATTATATAAGACTTAAAGAATCGGATAAATTTGGGTATTTATTGAAATGGTATGAATAAGATATCCAAACTTGACTGATATTCAAATTCGATTCAATTATATCAAATTTTGAATTCTAAATTAGATTTTTGAATACGCTTAACACTTCTATTCATACTTATAATGCTGTTTTCAATGTAAACTGAGTTATGTTCCATTCATCTATGGACTATTTGTTATATGAGCACTTTGTCTCAACTCTCAAAGAACAAGTTAAATGGAAAAGCGCAGTATAGATAGATCTGGCTGTATGAGACGTGGCTGTATGAGAGAGTAAATAGTATCTATACGTATAGAGTTTGGGGCATGTGAAATTTATCATTACAAATTCAATTAATTATAATAATATCATTGAATAAAACAAAAAAAAAAATGATAGTTTCTTTCGTATTGGATGCTAAACATGTAATTATTTATAATGATGTCACTACTAATTTATAAGGATGCCACTAAACTTCTTCATTTCCATATTTGTTAAAAATTGTCTCTCTCTCATTTTATTTTCAATTGGCCCAAGCCGGGTCGTGCTTCCCTCCCTCGGAATACTTTAGGGAGTTGGCTTAGCACAGCCCACAGCCCGAGCCTGTACAGGTCTGTGTCGAGTTATGAACCAGGCCAAGCCATGTCTTTTTTTAATTTTTGGAAAAAATAATTAAAATTTTAACTTAAATTAAAAAAGATCTTAGATTTTTATTTTATATGAATTTTGATGTATACAATTGTTTATATATGCAATAATGAAATGAAATAATATAATAAAATTGAAAATAAAATTAAATATTATATATATTATATATACACATTATATTATATACAATACATATAAATGTATATGGGCCATGTTGGGCTGTGCCGACACGCAAGCAGCACGACCTGTAGTCCATTTGTGCAAGGCCGTGGGCAGCATAGCCCAATTTACACCTCTACTCATGACCTAGAGGCAAAAACAGCTCAACCTACAATTCAGTTTTTAAAACATTAGCTTGGACCAATTCCAATAAAGTTGGGCTTAGTGTTTTGGCCCGAGCCTAAGCCCGGAGGCCTAATCTTTGGAACTAGAGCGTGTAGAGAATGGTTGAGTCTATGGGAGGGTCCAAACTATCTTATTTATGTCCGACCCAGTGATCGGGTCACGGATTGCACAATAAATGTGTATAAAAACTTCAAATTTTTAATATTTTTTATAAATAAAAAAATTTAAAACTGAACTAAAAAAAATATTTAGGGTTGTTAACGGGTTGGGTTTGGTCCAATTAGTTAAATCGCTCAAACCATCACCCAGTCAAGATATTTCAAGTTCAATTTGAGTAAAACCCAGGGGGAGGTAAAAGTTGTTGACTTGGTAAAAAACCATTTGACTCGGACAATTGGAGCGTTGCCTTGTTAGACCCAATGACCAGGTCATAGGTTGCACACTAAATATGTATGAAAACTTTGGAAGGCCATAATTTTGCACTCCGATGTTTGATTGAGGTGATTTTTTTCTTTATTTTGGGTAATTATTTTTTCCAAAACACCTTTTTTGCCCTCAAATTGTAATTTTTATATTTTTTTACAAATTAAAAAATGTTTAGGATTTCCAACTGGTTGGGTTTGGTTGAACCCGACCAATTGCACTGCTTGAACCATCACCCAATCAAGATTTTAGGTTTGGTTTGAGTAAAACTCAGAGGGAGATAAAAAATTATTGACTTGGTCAAAAAATGTCTGACCCAAACGGTTGGACTGTTGACCTATTTGACCCGATGACCAAGTTATGGGTTGCACACTAAATGTGTATGCAAACCTTAGGATGCCATAACTTTGCACTCCAATGTTCGATTGAGGTGATTTTTTTTTTATTTTGAATAACTTTTCGAGATCTATGCATCCCAAGGAGCCATAGGCACCTTGTCCTTCTATTTTTTTTTCAAAAAAAAAAACGTTTTGGCCTCAAATTGTAATTTTTAATATTTTTTCACAAATACAAAATTTTAATATAAAATAATACATGCATTACATGTAGAACATAATTATACGTTATTTATTGAAAAAAATCATGTTTATACACACACACACACACACACACATATCATGACCTAACCTGTTTGACTCGGTCGGTCGAACCAATGACCCATGACCTAGAGGCAAAAACGGTTCGATTTTGGGCCCAAGCCTAAGCTCGAAGGCTAAATTCTTATCCAAGCCTAACCAACAGTTGATTAGGTCAAGGTTCAAAGTATCAGAAGTGCCAAGTGTATTAGAAAGGCAATTTTAAGAGACATATCGGGATACGCCTTGGATACACATGCGTATCAGAGAAAAACTAAGGCACGCATAGATACACTTAGAAACACTATAAATACTTTAATAAATCATATAAATACATCAATAACACTAAATATAATACCTCAATGAGGTGTAYATACATTAAATTAATATATTTTAATGGTTTTATGAAGAAATATATTGTAGTTAATTATAATTTCATTAAAAATCRTATGCTTAACTATAATTTATAAATTATAATTCTTAAGTTGTAATGTTTTATGCGATGGAAAAAACCCAACTCTCCAACCCAACCATAAAACATGCATTGGMAAAACTTCTAAGTGAAAATATAATCAATAATTATTTATTATTTATTTTTAAAAATTATAAAAAATAAATAAACATTATATAATATATTCCAAAAATAGTTATTAAAGAAGAAATTTCAATTGCTTTGTGGATATGATAGATCATCTATAGAATTATAATATATTCAATCATTGTGATCAAATGATAAAATATAATTAATTAATTAATCAATTTTTAATTCCAAAAATATAAAAATAAAAAATTATTAATTTCAATTGGTCTGTGGATATGATAGATCATCATAGAATTATAATATATTCAATTGTTGTGATCAAATGATAAAATATAATTAATTATTATTTATTTTTTAATTC